CCCTTTGGATTATTTATTTAGGAACACGTTGTTTAATTTCCAAATACTTGGGATTTTTCTAGGTATCTGATTGTAATAGATTTCCTAATTTAATTCCACAGTGGTCAGAAAAAAAAAAACAACCAATGTATGCTTTGAATCCTTTTTAATGTGACTTGTTTTATGACCATTATATGTCCTGTTTTGCTGAAGCTACAATGAGCACTTGAAAAGAACGTCTATTTCCAGTTTGGGGGGTCGAGTTTCATTTATAGATTAATTAGGTCAAGGTGTTTGACAACTTTGTTCAGATCTTCTATTTCTTTGCTGATTTTATTTTATTTTCCCTAATGCTATAAATTACTGTAAGGAAACTCGTTAAAATCTACTCGTCTGTAGATTTCCCTTAGCTTTATTTATTTAAATTGAGATATAGTCAGTTTTCAACGTTGTGCGAATTTCTGACAGCACAGTGCTTCAGTCACACATGAACATACATATATATTCATTTTCATGTTCTTTTTCACCGTGAGCGACTACAGGATCTTAAATATATTTCCCTGTGCTGCACAGTATAAACTTGTTTATCTGTTTTATATATATTTGTCAGTATCTGCAAATCTTGAACTCCCGGTTTACCCCTTTCCGCCCGCCTCCCGCCCAGCTTTGTCTTTTTATAATTTTTGTTGCATGTATTTTTAAGCTCAGTTATTAGGGGCACACAAATTTCTGACTGACATACATTTCTTATTGAAGGTCTTATGATTATTATGTTTTTTATCATTATGGAAATGCCCCTTTACATTCCGGTAACTCCTATATTAAATTCCACATTATTAATATTATCTGATATCAACAAACACTTGGTACCAAATTCTGACAATGTCTTCTTATTGTTCGCATGTCTATGTATTTACTTGCAACTTATGTCTTATATTTAAAGTGTACTTCTGCAATCAGTATATATAATAGCTAAATCTTTGCTCTTTTAATCATTTTGACGTCTGTTTTTTTAAGGAGAATTTTTAAACATAAAAATTACATTTAGATGTAATGAAATTATAGATGGGGTGATATTTAGTTTTCCTGTTTTGCTTGTTTGGTTTTGTTTGGACTGCTTTGTTTTCTGTTTTTCTCTTTTCCCCCTTTCCTGCCTTCTTTTGGGTTAATACCGTATTTTTAATATGCCCATTAGTTTTGAATTCAAGGAGGAATTCTAAGCACTCCTGTGCGGACATAAAAATATACACTCACCTTAACATTAAGGACATAATGGTTCAATGTGGCATCCACAGTTGCTCAATGGTCCCCTCTAACATATGTGTCAGGGTGGTGGGCGTCAATTTCTTTTTAGGCAATTTCTTTCTTAGGTTTTCCAAATATGTGATGAAATGATGATGGGTTTTTTGTCCCACAGCAAAGCAGAGCACGGGAGCCTGTGAATACTTATTTCACAGGGTATTTGACTACAGGATGTAACAATGTGTCGGAAATGAAAAACTTTTCCAAAGCCCACATATCTGTGAAGCAAACTTCCTCTCGCAGCCTCACCATGGAGCATCACAAGGGATCAGCCTGAGCCAGGAGCAGCTGAGATGGCACTGAGTCCAGAGCTGCGCCAGAACTCTCAGTGCTGTAAACTCCCGCACCTAAAACCTCTGAGTTTTTAGAAAATGTGGGTTTCGAATCCCTAAAGATCCTGATATTCTGTCTCAGTGGGACAGAGGTCGGGAATTTATGTTAACAGTCTCCATACAATGCACTGCAGGTGGTTCATACATGTGGATACTCTGCCTTGCTTTCAAGAATTTAAAAATTCTGGACAGGCTGGGGTGTTTGAACAATTCTTCATCCCTAGGATTCAGCCCATGTGACTTCTTAGAGTCCTACAGTGAGTGACCATCCAAAGGACCCCTGTCTTTACCCCACTGCCTCCCCCCACAACACTTTTTATTTGCTACATAGCAATTTTTACTGACTTGTAATTATCTTGCCTTCTGGCCTGTTCTCCTCCCTAAACTGAACTCCCTTACTAGACCGTAATAATATGTAATAGACGTAATATGGCGTGTCTAGGTTATTCACAGCTCCCAGGAAAAGTGTTACACACAGGAGGTGCTCCCTAAATGACTGTCCAAAGAATGATTCACTCTAAATTCATGCAAACACAGGTTACCACCGAATGCCTGGGTTCATAACATTCTCAGCGAACTCCACAGGCGGACAGCATCCCGGACGATGCGCTCAGCGCCCCCGCTGTCCCAAGACGGACGCGGAGGAAGGCGGCCACTGCGGGGAAGAGAGGCCATGAAGCCACTGCGCTGCCGGCAAGGTCCACTTTCAGCACCGAAATTCAGCACGCACTAAAGGTACGGGCAGCCAGGAGGTCACCGCCCGAGACGAAGCCCGGCAGAGCCGACGCGCCGCCGTCCGGGACGCGTCAGCAGAGATGACCCAGCTGGCGGCAACCGGGCATGCGCCGTGCGAGGCGTGCGGGCAGGGAGGGCTCGCGGGGAACGCCCCGCCCACGCCCCGCCCAGGCCAAGGAGGGCCCCGCCCACGCCCGGCGCCGGCGCCGCGCACTCGGCGTGCCGGTTCCGGAAGCGGGGTCGAGGCGCACGTCGGGCTGCGCCGGCGCGCCGACGTCTCCCTAAAGGACCAATGAACGGAGGGGTGGGCGGGTCGTAGCTGTGCCCGGCTTCCGGTTCCGGCGCGCGGCCCCCTGTGCGGCGGCTCCTGTGCTACGTGTCACTGGTGCTCAGGCCGACGGCGGGCAGGTGAGGGGGGCTCCGGCCGGGGAGCGCGGGGCTCGGGCGGCCCCTTGGTGACTCGCAGGGACGGCGGGCGTGGGCGGGTCCTCCCCAGGCCCCGAGTCGGGGGGCGCGGACCCAGGCCCGGGAGCCGGGGGAGGGGAGCTTCCACGCCCCGCGGTCCCCCCGCAGGGCGGCCCCGGGCCTGGCCGGGCTCTGCGGGCCCCGCTCCGGGGACGCGGGCGGCGGCGGCGGCGGCGCAGGGCCCCTCGGGGCCGGGGTGTGCGGTCTGTGCCGGGAGGTGGGCGCGCTGATGGAGATTCCGGGTCCAGAGGCCACGGAGGGCTGCTGGGTCCCCGCCTGACACTGTGCGGGGTCTTGGGGGTCGTGCATGTCTTTGTTGTGGCCAGAGGGCCCTTCGCTTTCATCAGGGCATCTGTGAGGTTTAGGCCCAGTGGGTCTGAACAGAATTGAGTGACATGCTGAGGAAGCAGCCATTAACTGTATTTCAGGGGGACCCAGTGTACGTCACCCAGGGTGTCTGTAGAATTCTCAGTGTACTTCCGGGGTTTGTATACGTTTGGGTTCCGGCTGCGCCCCCCCCCCCCCGGGTGAGGGAACTGGGGCTTAGACAGGCTACATGTCACACAAAGGGATTTGAGCTGCCACCTCCTCTGACGGATGGCATTAATCCATTAATTCAACAGTAATTCATTTATTGAGTGTTTGTGTTGGCCACCGTTGTAAGCCCTAGAAATGTAATAAAATACAAGTAATAAACTGACTTCATTAGTTATCATTCCATTGGCTCTCCAAGCTCAGATTGGATGGCATTTCTGTTGGGTAATAGGTTTCTCAAAAGAACCTATATGGTGGGGAGGGTGTAGCTCAGTGGTGGGGTGCATGCTTAGCATGCCCAAGGTCCTGGGCTCAATTCCTAGTATCTGCATTAAAAAAAATTAAAATAAATAAACCTAATTATCTCCCCCCAATAAATAAATAAATAGTACCCCAAAATGTTAAAAAAAATTTAAAAAAGGAAAAAAAGAATCGATGTGATGAAATATGTAGGACTTTGTCCTTAAAAGATGTTGTCCAGACCTTAAGGTTTAGAGCTTAGCTAATAGCTTCCTCAGAATCTGGATCTCAATTTAGCCAATGTGATATTGAAATTTCTTATAGATAGACCTCTCCCGTGAAATACATTCTTTTCTTAAAATACCGTGTGGCCGATGGTTTAGAATCATCAGATGGACATGTACCCTTTGCCTCTGCGCTAGGCTCTTGGCAGCACACAGTTGGCGTTCGCTGCACTAGACACCGGTGTCTGCGGAGTTTCAAACAGGTTATAGGAAATGTTTGCTGGGTCCCAGCACTGTTGACCCCTTAGCAGGAACAGTGGGAAGACTGCAGAGTGGGTAAGGGATGGACCTGTTGCCAGTCTTCAACTTTTTAATAACGTTAGCCCTTTTCTGTTAAGAACGTGCCTCCTGTTTCAGTGGTAATAGCATGGACAAGACCTGTTTTCTTACTGCCTTGTTTTCGATGCTTTGCTGGGGATTTCAAAACTAATGTCAATGGAGGCTTGGAGTCTGTAAAAAAGCATTTTTTTAAGATGAAATTGATCCATATCAGGTATGGGTTCATTGACGTTTGTATAACTCCGCAAGCCGTTGCTGTGTAACACATAATGCCAGTGATATAAATCTTTTCCTTTTTGTTTTTTGAAGCAGGCGTCATGGATCAGGTGATGCAGTTCGTGGAGCCGAGTCGGCAGTTCGTGAAGGACTCCATTCGGCTGGTTAAAAGATGCACGAAACCGGATAGAAAAGGTGATGACTTTGAAGTGAGAGGGAAAAAATGAAGCCTTTGCGTTTTCTAAGCCTGTTCTTTTAGTGTCTTCCTGTTTAACAACTGTTGCATTACGTTCATCAGCACTTTTATTGATTGACTTTGCTTTATTGTGTTTTAATCTTGTCCGTTTTTCCTGAATTTTGGACGCTTTGTTGTACACCTTACGCATTTTTCTGCTTTATGTATTTTCAAATGGTACATGATTATCTGTTACAGCCTTGTTTTCCACGTTGCTCCTGCCTCCGTGATAGTTAATGACTACAGTTTTTAGCATCTTCCGCATTGCCGCTCCGGGGAATCTTCCACAGCTCTCCCTCCTGTGCCCGGCCCCTGCCCACACTCCCCCAAACAAAAAAGGGCCTTAACAACCTAGTTGTTGCCAACCTAGGAAGTTTAATTTCTTCTTTATCGTAACTCATGTGTTAACAGGTGCACCAGAATTTGTCTACCTCTGTCGGTTTATTGACTGCTGGCTGAGGTAGGAGCTGGGAATATAATAGAGAAATAATATAATGTATTATATTATATATATATAGTGTATAAAAATATGTAACATAGTAGAGAATAGTCCTTGCTCTTTGGAGCTTAGAATCTTTGCAGGAAAATAGTCATAAGCGAATAATGACCATTATAATTTTTAATTAACGGCTGTGGTAAGTGTTATGGCAGAGAAACGGAGGAATGTTTGACAGCACATAATGCGAGGACGAAGCAAGTCAGGAGGACAGGGAGAGCTTCCCCGAGGAAATGATATTACATGGAAACATTACCAGGGGCCGACCTTCACATAAAAGTGTGCCCGGTTTGATTTTTCAAGCCTTATTTTTGGCCTCATTATAAGATCAAAGACGGTGGGCCTGTTGTTCATAAGAAGTTATGTTCTGAGACTTTATAATTGATACCTTTAGCAATGTTACAGAATTTTTAAGACAAACACTGTATTCTGTCCGTGTTTCATCTCTTTTTGGTAGTCTGGTCACTTGCTAGGGAGATAAATGTTTTATTGCTTGCTGATAGATTCACTATTTTTATGTTTCCTTAAATATTAATATAATAAAATTATTTTCATGTTTCCTTAAGTATCTTATTTTTATTTTTATGTTTCCTTAAATATTAATAAAATAAGAAAATTAAAAAAGTCTGTCAGTCCACTTAATTACTATGAATAATGTCATACTTTGTTTTATTTCAAATTGTCTGCTTATTATCAGGAGAAATGTACACCAGTGAGTGTATCTATGTCACTGCTTGCTCCCACCCGTAGTGACAGTGCCAAAAATAATGTACATTTTGTGTTTTAACTCCAGAATTCCAGAAGATTGCCATGGCAACAGCAATAGGATTTGCTATAATGGGATTCATCGGATTTTTTGTGAAACTGATCCATATTCCTATTAATAACATCATTGTGTAAGTAAACTTCCTTGCAGTCGACAGTATCTCGGGCATCCTGGAAAGGCAAACCGTTTGAGTTCGCAGCCTGCTGTTCCGTTAATACACAGATGTGTTCCTTGGCTTTTTCACGCCAGACAGGTCCGCTGATGGTTATTAAGTGCCAGGCAACTCAGCGATTTATTTAATGGCTTACACTGTCTCTGTCGCTGCTCTGGGAGCTAGGCGCTGTGTATAATTTTTAATAAGTGAAATGTTGAAGGGTCAGGGAAGTGAGTGGCACTTGGTGTGAGACAAAGCAAGCACTGAACGGACATTCAAGTCGAGGTCCTTTTTGCGCAGTGTATTAACTTGTCTTCAAGATTTTTAACATGCAGAGGAAATGGCTCAGCTGCAGATCCTCTTCCTTGTTACTGAATGGCTGTCACACCCGTGGGCAGTTTACCTCGCTTCTCTGTGCCCAGCTTGTTCAGTCAGGGTGATAGCTCTTAACGCGGGTTGTAGAAAAGATCAGTGATTTTATAGAAAAGGTCAAGTCGTGGTTATTGTAATGAGCCAGTGGTACTAAAGGGAGGGTGTCTTAACCTTTAGGTGTATTAACTAACAAACGCTGAGTTTCCTTTATGCTTTTCTCAATGCCTTTTCTTTCTACATTCATTACAAGTTGCTGGGACGCCTTGTGGCAGCGTGCAGTTACAGCGGGCCGTCTCGGGCAGTTTGGTGTAAAGGCTTAGTATGAGCTACAATAGTTACTTGCTCTGTGATTTTATTTATTTGTTTATTTATAATTTTTTCTAAATAGACTTTATTCTTTTAGAGCAGTTTCAGGTTCACAGCAGAGTTGAGCAGAAAATACAGAGAGTTGGCACAGAGCCCTCCCCACCCCACCCGACCCTCAACATCCCTCGTCAGTGTGGCATCTTTGGTGCCATCGATGATCCAACACGGGCACATTATTATCAGCCAAAGTCCACAGTTTACATGAGGGCTCGCTTTTGATGTTGGACATTCTATGGGCTTTGACAAGTGCATGATGACATGTGGCCACCACTATGGTGTCACACAGACTAATTTCATTGCCCTAAAAATCCCTTGAGCTCCATCTGTTCCTCCCTCCCTCCGTCTCCCCAACCCCCTGGAAACCACGATCTTTTTCTTGTTTATATTTTGCTCTGTGATTTTTATATTCGTTTAATCTCTGCGCCTGATCAGCCATTTAGAGGTGGCAGTACCTTCTAGGCTTACTGTATGCGATGGGGAGGTTTGAAGCAATCATTTACAAGCGCTTTGTCACCGTAAACCTCTTCAACACTAGGGGTTTCACTCTGCGCGCTGGTGGAAGTTGTCTTCTACCTGTCACGTGGCCGGATGAGTGCTGGCAGGTGGATTTCTTGAGCAAGTTTATCGCACCTGTGATGCCGAGGTGCCGCAAAACGGTATTTGAGGATCATAGAAAAGTTAGACCTGGAAAGGGCCAGGTGTCCTGAGTCCCCTGTCCCTGCGCAGGAGTCTCTGTTGTGCTCCTAGTGAGGAGTGCCGGCCCGGGAACTGTGGAAGCGGGGTTGGGAATCCCGGGCGCCAGCCCCACGCAGTCGGTAAACGGAGGCGGGCAGGGTCTGAGAAGCCTGCTCCCTGCCTCTGCTCTCCTGCGTCCGGGCCCTGGTCGGACAGCCTTGCCTGCCAGGTACTTCCTTAGGTTGCTAGGGGTGTTAGTTCACTGGTGTGTGACATTCACACGTACGTGTATGTGTGCATTCTGTGTGTGTGCGCGTGCGTAGACAGTGTGACCCGAGTCCAGTGTGCCCCTGGAAAACACTGAATTTTGCTGAAATAAGCGAACAGCTTCAGGCTCTTTACCGTGTTCTGATGACCATGACGGTAATAATAATTGCTAGCATTTATTGAGCACTTGCTGTGTGCCCGGGCCACGCAGCTTCATGTAGGTTGACTCTTCGGACCCTCCCGACGGTCCTGTTCACGAGGGTATGTGTATTATTGTTTCCATTTTACAGATGAACAAACCGAGGCGTGGAGGGTTAGCAGGTAGCACACCACCTCCTGCCCATGACGGAGCAGCACGTGGGGCCCAGGCCGGCTGGCTGGGGAGCCTGTGCTGGCTGCTGGCTCCCTCGCTCCGGCTTGGGTTGAGAACGCTGCTCATTCTGAGTCACGTTCCTCTCTCTGCTCCGGTTTGGTTTTCACTCGCCCTCTTAAAATCCAGTATCGACAGCCTGCTGCCCCCTGGCGATGTGTTCTAGCCGGCGGCCGGCATCTCAGACAGCTCCTCACATATAAGCGCTACGTTAAATTTCCTTCCGCCTCGGCTTAAATAGGCGGGGTGGTTAGATTCTAGCCTAAGAATGGAATGCCCCTGTCAAAATTCCTTGCTGCTAGACTCCCTTGGGGAAGATTGTTGAATGTTTAATCTGTCCGCTGTCATTTAACCTTTGTGTTAGAGCATCTTCTATTTCATTGTCCAAGTTGTGGCCCAAAGTGCCTTTCAGGACAAGCCACCCTCAGCACGGCCTTTGGGACTAAGATTCATTAGTCCAGTGGTTGTCAACAGGGTTTTGAAACAAGTTGTTCAAACTTGGCTTTCTTTTCATTCTGATTTTTTGCAGCAGGCCCAAAATACCTTGTGTGACGGTTAGTAGTCAGAGACGGTTGATCTGTGACCTTGTGGGAGCTGGTCACTTAGAAACCTTTCCTTCTAGTAATAAAATTGTTTCGATGTTTAAAGAGTTAAAAATCTATCTTCAGATACTTTTTGCATTATTAGAAACCTTTCTTTCTGGTAATAAAATTGTTTTGATTTTTTTTAGAGTTAAAAATCTATCTTTACATACTTTTTGGACTATTAGAAACCTTTCCTTCTGGTACCAAATTGTTTCGATGTGTAAATAGTTAAAAATCTATCTTCAGATGATTTTTGTGTTAAAATGAAGGCCAAATAAGGCGTTTTGTGTGAACAGCTATGAGAAAACTTACTCTTTTCCTGATACACCATGACGGCTGTAAAACTGAGAGAAACGTTTTCTCCTTTGCTTGAAAGCGCCTAAGTCACTTGTTTAATAGAGACGCAAGCTTCTCTTTCATTTATGCTGAATAACCACATTTTTCCCTTACGAAATTTTCTTCCTCTTCTGTGCGATTACAGCAGTCAAAATTAACGTCCACAGGGTTATAATTTAAAGGAGTTACATAGTTGTGGGCATTTTAGTTACAGCAACACAGTTTAACGGTACAAGCACTTAAACTATTTAGCTTTAAAGTGTATATTCAGGAGTATTTTAAGAGTATTACCTTTACCTAGTCCTGGAATTGTTTTTCCTTCTTTCCCCGCACAGTTGTAGAATGTATCTCTCAGCAGACAATTTTAATGTTCGTGCTCTTGAAACTTAGCAGTTCTTCTGTAGAAAAGAGTTATTTTGGTTGTCAGTCTTGCACCAGGTTTGTGAGTGGCTGTGCTGAGACACAGCGGTTGAGTCTGCTTTCTTTATCTTCAGATGGCTGATGGTACATCAAGTTGAAAAAGTTCTCAACCAGCCAACCTGTTCTGTGATTCGCATTTTTCATCTTGTTAAGAAAAGCGTTACGTTAGGCTGCTAATAAGCACGTTTCCCGGGTGAGAATTCTCAATTTTCACAGGCCTGTTCCAGCAGCCTCACTGCCTCCCTGTAGAGGGGTCTTTTCAGTTGCAAGATGTTAAATAAAGTTCAGTTTCTTTTGTATGATCTTGGGGTCACGTAGGTGTGGTTCTCAAACACCTAGTTTTGGTCCCATAAAATGACAGCACATTTCATTTCAAATTACTACTATTATTAAAATCTTACATGTACTCAAAATTGACCATTTTTCTTTCTTTTACAGTGGTGGCTGAAGACCTTTTTTGAAAAGTATGTTTTGGGGATTCGTGAACAAATGAGGATTTGAGAAGCTCACGGAGTAAAAATTTGCCCGTAAATTTTGTGTTTTTCTTTCATTTGTTTTCTTCCAAG